CCAGGGGTGAAGCCCCCGACCTGGGGACTGGTGGGCTGCACCACAGACCAAACACCAGCTCTGTCTCGCTCCCGCTCCTCAGTGGGCCGAGTGCTTCCTAAATGCCTCAGTCACTGACGAACACAAAGTCCCCGTGGGAACACAGGACCGAGGACTTCAGGGCACTCAGGGCTGTGGAGGCTGGTCCCCTGACCACGACCTGACGCCCAGGGGCCGACCGGAGGTGCTGGAGGCTGGACCCTCTCATGCCGTCTGCTGCTTGCTGTCTGCTGCTGTGGCTGCCCTCACCCTCTCGCCGGTGCCCTCAGTTCACCTCTCCCCGCACTGCCTCTGTCTGCACGACTTTCTCCTTCCTCCCCAGCAAGGCCAAGGTCCTGGAGGACGTCAGAGGTGTTTCAATGTAAGATCCACCTCACACCACCAGTGACACTGAGCCAATTATTAACCCACAGGTGTTGGCACCTGAGAACCAGAGGTGGGGTGGCCGCTAAACCTCGTGAGGTGCATCGATGCCCTTAGTGCGAGTGTAGCACAGACGCCCCAGGGTGCGGACGAGCTCCACCAGTGGTTACCGCCGCCCATGTCGGCCCTCGCGGAGCACCCGCGTGGGCCAGACCACGTGTGCACGGGACCCGAGAGGACATGCTTTGAGCTTTTTGGGCCCTACGTCTGTGACAACTGCCCAGCTCTGCAGGTGTAGACTGTGTGAGTGGGTGGGCACAGAACCGATGAAGGGCCAAATTTCACCCTGGACCGGCCATGCAGTTTGGCACCAAGGACTCAGGCTCAAGGTCAGGAAAACACAAGATTGTCTTCAAGGAGCTCCTGGTGTGGGTGGCAGACAGACAGGAAGACGTGTCATGACGTCACACGGCGGCCTCTGCCTGGAGGTGAGGGGTGAACGGAAGTGTGAGCCAGGAGTCTGGGGGACGCAGCTGGCAGGGCTTTGCCCACCCGCCCCTCCTGTGGCCTTGTGCTGGGCACCGGGGAGCCCGACAGGGGCTCGGCTGAGTGGGAGCAGAGCGCCGAGGGGTACCAGGGACAGGGAGAGCCAGACGGGGGTGAAAGGCGGGTCTGGTCCTGAGTGATGGAGAGGTGCCTGAGGAGCTCGGAAGGGCCGCTCTGGCAGCGGGACAGACAGACGTGAACAAGGAGAGACAGAGGCAGAACGGCCAGTCCGGGGATTTGTGGGGGTTTGTGGGGGTCCCTCTGGAATAACACGATGACTCCTGTGCAGGCGCCGGAGCAACACGAGCAAATGACGACAGGCCAGTGCTGTGGCCACTCACTCTTCAGACCCCTGACTCTGGACAGGGACACACTGGGGGACAGGGGAGGGGCCCAGGGCACAGGGGCACCTCGGACCCTAGAGAGTACAGTGGGAAGAAGGGAAGAAAGCAGAATCAAGGCTCACCACTCTGGACTAGGTGCCGCGTGGGCGGACGGAGACTGCGTGGTAGGGTTGGGGGAGAGGGGACAGTGGTCCAGACATGCAGACTGACCGTGAGATTCCCACAGACTCTCCAGGTGGACCTGGAGCACGGAGACGCCCAGCCTCAAAATTAAGATTTGGGACTTGTTGGTCTGCGTCAGCTAAAGCGGGAAGCAGGAGAGGAAGAAGCCCTGGCGGAGAGAGCCCAGAGGGGAGAGCAGTGCGGGGGGAGGAGAGCCTGGGCCGGCTGACCACTGAGCGTGCCCAGAAGGCGGACGTCGGGACTCAGGGACACCAGGCCTGGGAGAGGAGGCGGCTCCGGGAGGAGGGGGCGGAGGTGTCCCGGCCACACAGACGGGGCCAAGGGAGGCCGAGTGCTTGCTGCACTGGAGCCCTGCCTCTCAAGCATGGGGGGGAGGTGGAAGGGCAGCGGACGCTCGGACGAGGAGGGGCTGAAGGACGCAGCGGTGCTCTCTTCTTCCGAACAGGCCCGGAAAGGGGTTTGTTTTCATTAAGGGTGGGAGCATCTTGAGAGTGCTGGACTCAAATCAACAAACCCATCATGAGCACCTTCTTCTACTGAGGGTGACAGAGAGGAGTGTAGCTGCTGGGACCCCAGGACGCCTTGGCCGGAGGTGAGTGGAGATTGGGACCCCATCTCCTGGGCCCGGGTGGGCAGGCCAGGCCACGCCCACAGCACATCTTCCCCTCCCAGACCTGGGCACCGAGGGGGTTTCTTAAGAATGTGTGTGCCCCGGACCCCAGAACCAGCCATGAACCCAGCTCCTAACTGCCTTCCAGCACAGGTTGGATCCAGGGGCCCCTCCTCAGGGGACAGGGGCTTGCCAGGGGGAGGAGCTCACGTGAAACGTGCTCCTACCTGTGCCTCATGATGCCAGGCACAAGGGGCTCAGAGACACCCTGACCACTAGTCCTTTCACTGACGAAGACAAGGTTTGCCCAGCACCCAGCCAGCGGTGGGACTGCTGGGACTGCGCTAAGTCACCACCCCTCACACTGCTGTTTGCTCGGAACCCAGCACTGCCCAGGGAGCTGGGCGTCTCCCAGGGTGGCAGAGACAAGGCTGCCCGGCCGCCTGCTCCGGACGCGCACTGCACCCGCACACCTGCCCTTCGCTGTCGGGAGTTTCAGCCAGCGACGAAACACAGGGCAAGAGGCACCTCCCGGCCATCCCCTTCTGCCTCTGTCCCTCACCCCAAGCCCTGGCAGCAGGGAGGCGGGACAGCTGTTTGCAGAGGGAAGTGAAGGGCCACCCGCTGCACCCCCACTTCTCCCTGTGTCCAGGGATGCCCAGGCCTCGCTCCTCTTGTTGTTTTAACCCTCGTATAAACTAGGAGCTGCCAGAAGTTTAAAAACAAAACAAGGAAGTTTGTGTTCCATATTTTTCTAAGCAAAATTAGCCCTGTCCTCACCCTGAACCCCCCTGGGTCCTTTATCTGTCCCTCCCACGTGGCACTAACACTCTCTCCCTTTTATGTGCTGCTCTGTGGTGACACAGGACAGGACCTCGGGGGACAGCACCCAGGCCGTTAGTCGCTCCCCTGTACCTAGAGGGGTCTCCCCGCACAGTGGGCGCCCAGGGCCATAAGCTGGCATGAATGTGGTGATCGTCCCCTCTCCGCGCCCCTGCCTGTCACGCCCCCCCCAGCCGCCATCACAAAGGAGACAAAGCCTCACGCTTTTGCCCGTCCTTCTCCCCCGGCTGCAAGTCTCGTCCTTGCAGAGAGCAGGCTTTTCACTTGATTTGTGTGCTGACTACCATGTGCCTCTCGTGTGCCAGCCCCCAGGCTCGCCGTCCAATGAGCCCCCATCTCTGCCCTCATGGGTTTGTAGTGCACCCCCCCCCCACCTGGCAGGCAGGGCTGACAGCAGGGCTGTCGTCACAGCTGCGGTCGGAGGACGTGTGCCCAAGCACTGTCCTCCCCTGTGCCCCAGTGTTGTGTGACTCATCCCCCATCAGAGCCTGGACTCCATGGACCGCGCCAGTTCTCTGGTAATTCATTAAGCTAATGCAAAGCTTAAGGCATTACTAATCTCATGGTAACACCACCGTGAAAACTATTAATCAATATGAAAAACAGTGCTATTACTCAGAGGCACGAACCTTGAGAACGTGGCAAAGGGGTCCCCAGCATGAAACCCTCCAAACGTCCAGAAGCTCCCCGAATGCCAGGAGCGAGCCTCGTTTTCAGTAGAGCCCCGCCCCAGTGCAGGAGTTAGGTCGCCCTGCCTGCGTGACTGGGGGCAGGGGCTTGGACGAGACAGGGGATGAGCAGAGACAGACCGAACCCTGAGGCCCACCCCGTCCAGCGGACAGGGTCAGGGTGAGAGGCGGGGATGCACACGGCCCCCACGGAGGGCAGGAGGGGCTGCCGAGGTGGCAATCTGGGGAAGCCTGTGCTCGACTGTCCCCAACGCTCCCAACTGCGGCATTCCGGTGAGCACAGAAAAGCCCGTGTCCCAGAACCTGTCTGTGCTGGAGATTCGTGCCTTTCATCGCCAGCAGGGCCAGCGGACCGTTTCCAGGACAAAGCCAAGATCTGGAGCTGGCCTCCCCCGCACCCCTTGGGCCTGGCTGAGTTTCTGCACGGCACCCAGGAGGATCCTCCACAGGGGGTGGGGCCAGGTGTCACTAACACTCCTGGGGGAACAGACACGCCCTGAGTAGGTTGTAACAAACAAGCCTGGATCAGGACCCTCCCCACCCCACCTTGGTCTGGCCCAGAGGGACCAGGGGCCCCCACGGCCTGTGCGCAGCAAGCAGAACATGTCAAGGTGTCAGGCACAAGAGCCTGACCCCCGCACGCCTGCCTGCCTGCCAGCAGCTCAGCAGGGCGAGGGACAATTTGTGCTCCCCAGACCTGTGTTCAGGCCCTGCTAAAACCCTCTGGCTGGCCATGAGGATGACTTCTTACCATCCAACAGGACCATGCGGTACTGAAACTGCCTACAAGCCCCGGTGCCAGCAACAGGGACAAAGTTCCCAAACCCTCAGAACAGAGGGTCTGGAACCTGCTGCTGAAGTCAGGCAGTCGGGGTGAGCGGTCTGGGCATCAGTGACCCCGCCTGGCTCTTGATCTCCGCCCCTCTCAGCCCTGAAACCCTCCCCTGCATGGACCACAACATTGGCGTCAGTGGTGGGCCACTGAGGGTGCAGGGCGGACTTGCCCAAATACCAGGCATCTTACTTCCTTTCCCCCAAAACCCTCCTGAAAGTGGGAGAAACAATCCTGGCAAGATTTACCGGCAGAAATTGCAAGATGTTTAAAAAAAAAAAGATTCGTGAATGGAAGGTCACTGCTGTGGCTAATCCCGTGGGAGAGAGAAAAATCCTAAAAGGAATCATGGCCCTTCAACCATATTCCCGACCTTACTCCTTCCCCTAAATTAGGGCCCCTGGGGGTGGTGCAGACAGGCTCAGGAGCAGGAAGAGCCCTGGCTGCTGGAGCCCGGTGCCACCCCACCCCCCCTCGGGGACAGGACGCGTGGAGAGCCCCACCGCTGCGCGCACCTCCATGCGGGCCTTGTAGAAGTCCACATCGTGCAGCTTCTCCCGGCAGCGGCCCAGCTCCAGCTCCAGCCTCTCCACACGGTTGGCCTTCTCCCTCAGCGAGTCCAGCTCATCGCGGTAGGCGCGCGCAGACCGGGCGTCGGCCGCCAGCTGGATGTTCTGGGAGGTGGGCAAAGGCAGGGGACCTGGCTCAGGGCACCCCGGGGCTGGGGAAGAGGGCGCGGGCCCTGCGGCCCCAGGAAAAAAGCTCCTGGTGGCCAAGCGGCGCCGTGTGCAGGCCACCTCGTGGGGGCTCCACACGCTGTCACTAAAACATGTCACCGCCCCTCCCACCGCAGCTCTCAGGACAACTGGCTGTCACGGAATCAAAGGCTTTTGCTGGGAGGTCCTGCGGCTGTGTTCCTGAACCCCAGGCCTGGGGCACTGGGGCACCCCCCCCCACCCTTCCACACACGACCGAAAGGACTCCTGCTCACCTCCTGCTTGACTTTCTGCAGCTCCAGCACCAGCTGGTCCACCTCATGCCTGGTGTCCACAAGCTGCTCCGTCTTCTCCTCCCTGGGGCCATTCAGAGGGTGCGTGGTGAGGGTCCCCCCAGAAGCACCTGGACAGCCACCACCTGGGAGACCGCGGCGGGGAACGGAGAGGGGACCTGGCTTCTAGGGGTGAGGAGGGGGGTCTGCGTGTCCTCTTCACGTTTTCAAGGCCTGCTCTCAAACTACACCCCCCCGAGGGTGCGGGACGGGTAAGGCGGCCCAGGAGCCGCTGCGCCCCACTCCACGGCCGGGCAGGCAGTGAGGCCTCTGATGAAAGGTGAAGGCGGGCAGCTCCCGAGATGACTGGACAGGCCCATCGATGGGGCGAGACACTTCCTCCCTCCAGCCAAGAAAACGCACAGCAGCGTGTGGTCATTCGAGCCCCACACCGAGCCCGAGGAGGGACAGCAGGCTGCCCCCGCACCCTCTGTGACATCTGGGCCGGCAGGAGCCCCAACAACCCACGGAGCCCCTCCTGGGCAGGGCCACGCCCCACAGGGGCCAAGTGCAGAGCAGAGCCCAGCCGACCCCGGGCCCCAAGGCAGAGCTGTCCTGCTGGCTGCCTGCCCTGTGACCCTCGGGTGCTGGAAACCTGCTGGGACAGGTGGCACGAGAGCAGGACAAATGGGGTCACCGGAGGACTCACAGCTCCTGCCTGACACGGCGCAGCCTGGCCTTGGTGTCGGCCAGCTCCACGGCCAGGTGCTGTCTGTCCTCGCTGGAGAGGCTGCTGGTCGGGCTGGGCGTGGACTCGGCGCTGGGGCACCTGAGCGGGCTGGGCGGCTGCTGGGCCTGTAGGTAGTCCCGCTCCTGAGTGAGGTCCACGATCAGCTGCAGCAGGGCAGAGAGGGGGCTCACCAGCACGTCCCTGCGCCCAGCACAGTGCCCGCACTAGAACTTGGTGAGAAATGACCAGAAGACGTACAGACAGTAGAGAACAAGATGTCAGCGCGAGTGGAAAACCAGGAGGGAGGCATGAGAAAGGTGGTGTGTCATTAAAAAGCGATGACGTACTTAGCGAGACAGCAAGGAGCATGAGAATGGAGCAGGGTCCCCAACCTCACACAGGTGTCTCGGAGGTGACTGTTTGCTGTGCAGGTGCCCGTGTCCCCCCACCCCCGAAGCTGGACCAGGACAACTGGGGGTGTGCAGGCTTCAGAGGAACGGTCAGGAGAGGAGAGGAGGGCAGAGGAGGGCGGCCTGTGACCGGCCCCGGCCCGAGTGCCCCGCCCTGCCCCCAGGCGCAGGGCCGCCCCAGACACACCTCCGTGCGCTCGTCTCGCTCGTCTATGAGCCGCCGCAGGTGCAACACCATGCTCCTGGACAGGGCCTCCAGCTCCTCGGGGGCCACGTCGGGGACCTCCAGCCACTGCAGGTCGAACACGTTCTCCTGGTTGTGGGTCACCTGAGGGCACACATAGGGGCGGCGCTGCAGAGGCTGGGCGGGGGCAGCTGGGGGGGCCCTGCAGACAGCGCAGCCGGGCTCTGCACTGAGACACAGACCACTTCTGCTTTCAGCACTGGTTCAGAGAGGGCCCGCCGCTCTCAACACTGGAAAGCATCCCCACGCTGTCATGGCTCCGGAAACAGTCCCCAGACCACACCCAGGAGGGAGGCCTCATGGCGGGGAGGAGAGGAACAGAGTCCTCTCTCAGAATCTAACGCAAGCACGGCAAAATATTATTAAAACTCTTACATCAGAACGTTGGGCATATAACAATCTTATGCCATTTTGGGAAAATTATTTCATAATCTAAAATGATTTTCAGGTGAGCCAGTATCTCTTCGCCACCCAGGACCACCTGGATTCCCCCCTTTCCGTGGGGTGGACAGGGTGTGGGGGGGAGACGCACAGCCTCTCCACCAACTCTGCCGACCTCACCTTCTCAACCTGACCCAGCCCCCCACCCCCAACCAACCACGGGGGGCAGATCTGCCTCGGGCCCTCATGGGTTTGGGAGGATGAGTATCAGTGCACACAGGTCTCGAAGGGGAAAACAAACAGAAACTCACTTGGTGTGGAAACCAAAAAAAAAGCGCTTGAATTTTCCAGAGGCGTAAATGGAGGTAGAGAATAACTTAAACCAACCTCCCTGCAAAGACCACCACCAACGAAAAAATGGCCTTTCCGTTTTGCAAATGACACCCACTGCCTCACATCTCCCCACTGCGCAAACAAGATGCTGGGGTTTGGCTGGTCTCGGAGAACCAAGAGCAACCTCAGCCCCAGGTGCTGGGCACCTGACAGGCGTGGGCCAGGACTTGCATGCTGGGTGCCAGGCCTGCTCCACCTCAGCGCTTGGGGAAGGCCTCTGGTGTCCATAAAGGGGACTTGGGGACGTGCAACCCCAGCCAGACACCAGGCACATGCGCTGCTTTTAACTGAAGGTCCCTGTCGCTTCTCCCTGATGGGACTTGGTGGGCCTGGGCACCGTAATGTGTGAGAAGCGCCCAACTCGCTCTGAGGCCTGGTCCCCACTGCCAGCCACTGAATCCGATTATCACTCAGGACTCTTTGGGCCGCACTCCAGCCCGTTTTTATTTCACCTGTCCTGCTGGCTGAGCAGGAAAGACGCTCAGTGGCAATGCACCTAACCCAAGACACATACATATATTTTTCAAAACACTGGACACGCAAGGAAAATTAAGAGGCAGAATGGTTCTTAGGCTAACAGGTGGCCACTCACTGTCAGTGATGGCTAAGCGTATTTGTGATGTTACTGGCCTCCCCCTGACACAGGCATCCCTGGCCCCTCCGCCGCCACAGTCACATACCTCTCCTGCTGTGATGCTGACTCAGGGCCCAGGGGGCCTGGAGCCAGGGGAACCCATCAGCCCAGCCCGTCCCAACATTGGCCCAGAGATCTGGGTTCAGGGGCCCAGACCAGGCACACACCTGCTCCTATGTGCTCCTGCCCCTGGCTTTTTCATGCCTCTATCTCGCCTGTCCAATCAGACTGAATACTGACACGTATCTCCTAAATCATTACAACACACGAGGCTTCCTCTGGAGGGAATGGTGGGGGAGGATGTCAGGTAGGTGCTTGCCCCCATAGGCCCGGTTGCCAGGGAAACCACTTCTCTGATGCTGCCACCCCTGCCCAGGTCTATGGAATGACAGAGGGGCTGTCCACAGCCCTCCTGACCGCACCCCGGGGCCGAGTCTTCAGGGGCAGCCTTTCTGGGACTTGGTGGCTTCTCGCTTCCCCAGTGGGGGCAGCTTGTTTCTCGGCCCCGTGGCTGACAGAAACGAAGAATCTTTCTCCAGAAAGATCAACCATCTGACACAGGGTGACATTTGCCAGGATCCATTTTCAGGGCCTGTAAATCAAACCCTGGGCCCAAACCCCTTGACAGCACTTAAAAATAGCTGGACTCCTTATTAGGCAAGGAGAGGAGGCACCAAACTTGAATGAGGCCTTTTCTCACATTCTTTTTATTTTTATCCCCATTTTACTTTAGCTTGCGGATGGGTACCTTTCCAAACAGATTCCACTGGTCTGTGGTGTCTGACACCTCAAATCAGTAAAGTCACCAGTGAGTGATGTAGTGTTTCCACTTTTCACCGGGGAGGGGAGCCTGCGGCCTGGTTGCTGCGGGAGGGCCCCCGGCTAAGCCCCCGCCAGCCACCACACACCTACCTCCTGGATGTGGGCCACGATCCCGGCCTGGGTCTCGATGTCCAGCTGTTTGATTCTCTCAATGAACTCCTCTTTCTTCTCACACTGTGGAGGGTAACACGTGTTAATGGAAGCGTTTGCCAGTGAGGTCACCTGGGGCCACCACAGGCACAGAAATAGTTTCCAGAGGAACCACCCACCCAGCCCCTGGCTGCTGCCTTTACATCCGAGAATTTGTCCTCCCTTGTCCTCAGGATGTTTCTCTAGAAGCTGTTCAGACCTCCTGCATGAGAACCACCTGTTTTTATTTTTTTTAAGATCTTTTAAATTTATTTTATAGAGAAGGGAGAAAAAGAGGGAAAGAAACATCAATGTGTGGTTGCCTCTAGCACACCCCCTACTGGGGGACCCAGCCCACAACCCAGGCATATGCCCTGACTGGGAATCGAACCAGCGACCCTTGGTTCTCAGGCCGGCACTCAACCCACTGAGCCACACCAGCCAGGGCTAGACGGCCTGTTTGTAAAAAGCCTATCAGGCTGACAGCGCTCAGGGTGGCACACAGAAATGTGCGTGTTAAACATCGAGGCACCTGAACTGGGCCCGGGGGTGGCAAACTTCACCTGTGAAGGGCCAGATGGTCAAAACAATCTGAGACTCTGCGGGCCATTTGGCCTCAGCTCTGCCACTTCGGTGTGACAGCGGCCAGAGAGAGCGTATAAAGAAGTGGGTGGGGCCCCGCCCCCATGAACCTTTAGTTACGAAAACAGGGGCCGAGTCAGACTCGGCCCACAGGCTGCATGCGGTTTGCTGAGCTTTGCAGCAAACCGCAAGCTCTAGGTCCCCCTGTACTGGGGACAATTCGCTAGTGGTAGCCTGGCCTGAGGGACCCTCACCTGCTTGCTGCCAAAGGTGCCCCAGTACTAGAAATGGTGGTCACCTAATGGATGGTCCCTTCTCTCAGGGACCCAGTGATGAGTCATGTTGGGCTGAAGGCGGCTTCACTCCTTCCTCACTGAGGGGGGGTTTTGCGCCCACAAATCCACACACAAGGCAGCTAAGAGCAGACCACCGCCCGCCCGCCCCCCCCGCCCAAGCCCTACCTGGACCGCACAGCCCAGCACCAGCAGCAGCACCTTCTTAATCTCCTCCATACTCTTCCCTAAATCAAAAGAGCAACATACTTAATTAGTCCCATCTGCTTATAAAATCTCATCAGCGACACACCAGTCTGCTGTCAGGGAAAAACATCAGATAAGCTAAAAAAAAAAAAAAGAAACTTCATTTCTCTACCCAGAGATTTCCACTTAGGTATACACTTGCCGCTTGTTTTCCATGTACGGGTCTGCATCTTATTTAAACCCAGTAAGAAATCTGAGAGTAACTATTTGTGGTCCTTTTCTATTCACCTGTACCATAAATATCTCCCCATAACAATCAGTGAACTTCAACATCAGTGTCTCTTTCCAGTGCATGTGAAAACCGCTGAGTCGACTCTAATGAGGCTGCAGGAACGTCACCTTTGCGCCACGTCAGACGAATGTCAGACGGCAAGCCGGCAGACTGGCCACCCAGCTGCGCGCCATCGGCTGCTGCACAGCTGTCCACCCCCCCAACCTTGGTCTCACCGTTTGGCTGGCGTCTTCCACAGCAAACCCCAGAAAACACACGCGTCACTTTTAATGGGGATGGTCTCAGGCTTACTTGGTACAAAGGCCACCAACTTACCCAACCGATCCCTTCCCAGAGGCTCCACCTTGCGACGTTTTAATGTAAACGATGCTAAACAACATCTTAGTGGCTAGTTCCTCACATGCATCCTTACTCCCTCTTGAGGAAAAACTCATCTTTTAAGCTTCTTCTCCTACTGCCAAATAGTCCGGCAGAAAGGCCTGTCCATTTCCCTCACGATGAGCATCCGAGAAGCCCTGCTTCTGCGGCCCCAGGCCCACTCCCTTCTCCGGCCTCACGGCTCCTCCTCCACCTTGCCAGCCAGTCTCCCCTGCTTTCACACCGTCTCTCTGGCCGCACAGAGGGCAAGTGTGTCTTCACGTGTTTGAGAGTCCCAACCACTTAAAGGAAGAGTTAGAGTACTGGGGCTCTAGGCCTGGCTTGGTCACCGGGAGCAGTGCGACCCCAACAAGCCATGTTCTGTCCCTGGGCCTCAGTTTCCACATCTCTGACATGGAGGAGGCTGCTGGCCTGGGTGAAGTGCAGAGTGATTTTCAGGTAAAAAATCTATGGTTTCCTGCCCTTCTCACTATAGCCTGTTCTATCTGGGGGAGAAGGAACACGCCAGAAATAGCACTGTTTTCTAGAAAGATTTGCCAACACCCATTCACACTGTGCTAAAATGGTCCAGAGTATCACCAGTGACCCCTGGGATGAAAGCAGCAAACTCGTGTCCCAAGAAGTAGTAGTGCTGTGGTTCCCTCAAGTCCCGGGGCCGGGTGTGGAGTCGTCCGACTACCTCCCGACTGAGGAACAGCTGGACACACCCCTTCCTGGGACGATGACATCGTGGCTGAGATTCAGAACTGGGGGCTGCACAGTCACTGACTGAACTGCACCCTGCCTGAGGTCTCCCCGCCAAGAGGTGGGGGGAGGAGTGGGGGTCAGACCACAGGCCCCCGCGGACCATTCACGCC